CAATACAATTAGAGTATAGGTTTGGAACGGGCACTATATCGGCTAACCCTAACCCTAACCCTAACCCTAACCGTAACCCCAAGCGCACATGATACGTGCTAGGTTGGCGCTTGTGGCGAAGTTCTAGGTTCCTGTGAAGGTAGCTAAGGTCTAGGTTGGATGTGCCGGTGGCGAAGTTCTAGGTTGAAGTGCCCACGGTGGGCAATTCATGGGCCGCCCATGGGCGGCCCATCCGTGACCCATGGGTGTCCCAATGGCAGTTTAGCAAAACTATCAGTGGTGCGGGAGATTGTGATCACTCAAGGCAAGGCTGGCTGCTGATGGGCCGGAAACAGCGTCATCTTTGATATGATACCTATACCGCGACAAATAGCTCTTGGTTGAAGAGCTGCACAGGCCATCCTCGTCATGTAAGACCGACAGATGACTGAAAGAAACACGTGAAACTACAGCGTCGGGTAAATAACGGTTACGTATGAAGGTGCCAATTTCCTCCCACAGCCTCCCGATACGCCCACCACAAATAGGCAAACGGTTTCATTCAACGACAGGAGGTTCAGCGCCTGAACGAACGCAAAGTTGACTGATCGCCCCAGGACGATGTTGGAATGACCTCCTTGGAATGAACAAAACGGCTCCGAAACTAACGCGGGATACATAGGACAAGCGTTCGTCGCGTTCCGATTCTACAGGGATACCTGTCCGTTGGAAAATATAAGGACCGTTTGGGTGTTCGCGTGTTGTGTTCCAATGGACCCTATAATTCCGAACAACCCAAGGCCCATTCGGATACAAATGTTCATACCCTGGTGATATTCCAAACAACGCGGTGTACGGCGAAAAAGCCGGACATTACAGCAGCAGCACCACAGGTGTTTGGGTCAGGTATTTTCAGCGAGGGCAACGACCGACTCTATCATAACTCACTCTTGTTGATCGCCGATGATATAGACCACGCCGCAGATGCCTAGCCCAAGGTTGACTGCAGTACCAAACAGAGTCAGGCCGAAGTAGTAGCGGATTCGGATGTGCGCCTCCCAGCACTCCTTGATCTCCTTCATCCGGAACGTCAGCAGCCAGGACACGATCCCGAACATGCAGATCCCGACGAATAACTCGATGACGTAGATGGATAATATCGCCAAATCATATTTCTCCTGAGTTTGCATAGGACACCAAGCGTCAACCAGGAGTCGAGTATTCAATAGCATGGCGACGCAGTTTGAGGCACATGCAAGAAGCAGGCCAGAAACAGGACAGCGCTTGACGAAGCAAGGAACAGCCGTGGAACGATACCACTAAAGTAATTCTCAGGCCCAGCACGTCGAGCGGCATACATATGGCGGCTGGCACGGCTCATGTGGACGTACGTGGCTGTAGCGTGATGATGACAGTACAGTAGCTAAGCTCGACGGGATTTCTACCACAAAATCTTCATTCACAGCCCATACAAGGGAGCCTCCGTCCCTCGCGTTTCCGTACAGAGTTCGAGCGTTTGTGGTTCCCCGAAGGGCTGAGGCAGACGAAGCAGAGAGGGTTAATATATCTTTCCTTCCTTCAGCGGAAAAAATTAGCTTGTGCACGCACACACGCAACACTTCATTCCAATGTATGAAGGGAGCGTTGCCATGAGTTTTTCGTCCCCACGGTGATCATACCTAGAATCTGTAAGAGCTAGCCGGGAGCAGGTGGTCGGCAGCCGCTTGAAATTTTCTATCCTTCTCGAATTCAAAACCCGATGAACCAACCGTTCTTTACCGAAGAAAGAAGCACAACGAACTCAGTACTGGTGGAGAATTTGTCTAGACCAATTTCCATGTCACTTATGTTAGCCCCGTACAAGCAGCCTGGGCGATTGTGCTGAGAAACAAACCAACGTGTTGTTAGTTTGGGTCAATGTTATCGAGAAACGACCATCACAATGAATGAACTGACACGCTTGAATGTCCTGTTTGAAGCTGACGGGATATCATCGTCTCGCCTTTTGGTTTTGCAATCGACCCATGTACTCCGCGAGTCAATCGAACAACAAAAATCATGGGTAGAATTCCAGGTATTCTTATTCTACAGGTTTGGGAACGCATCTCTCGAAGCTGAGGTATAGGGGGGACGAATGTTCTTGCACTTCCGACTACAGTATTATAGTGGGGAAACACAATCAAAAGCAAAGGTTGCCCGTACAATGGCAGAGCACGAGATCCACATGCGGCGAAGCCCAGAGAGTTGAAAAAGACGAGAATAAACCCAGAGCGCTGTTGAAAATGGTCTAGCATCACAGAAGAGAGAGCAGTATTACTACAAAATATAGTCATCATCATCACCATCATCATCGCAAATCGAAAACACTCGCAGGAAGAGAATTGCACAACGTTACCATGTTCCGGCCAGACCTTGGCTTTCGGGACGGGGGTTGAGGGGTAATTCGAGGGAGGAAGAGGGAGGGGGCATTGTTCACCACACGTACGTCGGCAATGCTGACCACGCGTGTATCGCCGTTTTTGGAGACATTGGCCAGATTCCATCATCACTTGGAAGAATACGGGCGGTGTACTCTCTCGAATGGAAAGAACGTTCGTTCGTTCGAATTCATTGTCAGGTTAGTCTACAGGCGTACCGGGTCCGGGTTGGTGAACCAGAAGCCCGTCCCAAGGACCAGCGCCGTCTCCCAAAGGGGCACCGTGGCTGCCGAGAGGACCACGGAGACTACCAGCAAAAGAAAGAGAAGCCCGGGCGAGCTGACCGTCTTAACACGAGTCATGGTCCGGTGAGACTTGAAGCGAATGGTGGTGCCGCATGTCGTGCGCGGAGGGGGACCGGCACCATCGGTTAGAAAAAACGCACGGGGGGGGGGGAGGGCAACAGACGACGAAACGAAACGCGTGGCACATGACTAGACGTTACAAAATGGAGGCAGCAACCTACGGCCGAACAGAAAAGATCATCGTGATGATGGCGAGGCACACCCAGTACTGCTGTACACTACCGGAGGCTTTGGCGAGGAGTAGACTAGCTTCGGACGAAGAATGAGCGCAGCTTTGAGCTCTTACCGAAACGATGAGGGCGAGGTTGATGCAGATCCCGAGGTTGGTGATGGCCAGCATGTTGGCCGCGGCCAGTTCGAGGAACTTGATGAACTTGATCAAGCCCAACAGATTACTCGCAGCATAACACGAAGAGACCATCACGTCCTCCGTAAGGTAGCTCAAGCCCAAAACCGCCCCACTGTGTCGAGTGTGCAGCAGCAAAATGGGAAGACAACCACCACCGTACGTGAAGTAAGGCATTCTTTAGTCGATTAGGTTAATCGGGTGAGAAACCTTAGTTTTGCAATTGGTGTATTGAAAAAGCAAGCCGACGAATGAATATCATGCTTCTTACAGTATTGTTTCAGGTTCGAGAACGGAAGCGTGGGGGGGACCCCCGATGGACGCAATACAGGCGACATTGAGGGCACCACAGAGAAGAATATCGTCATGTTTGAAGCAGCGGCATGAGGATAGTACTATCAATCCTGTTAAGAAGACAGACAGCATGTGGTGGCCCACGACGTGTCGTTATTATTACAGGAGAAACGAACCCGGCGGCGGCGCTAGGGCGTGGGGGGGCTCCGCGAAAATATCCCCCTCCCCACCCCGGTGTTTGCCGACGGGGTTGGCTTTTCGTCTCGTGGCAACGACGTTGTAAAACACGCCGATTGCTTCGTGAGCTTCGCAACCAGGTCACCGCTTTTTTTTCCCCTCTGTTGTTGTGTTTTTAAACCACAATGAATGATGGTCGAGTATATAATGTTGTGCGGGGTCGATAACCCTCACTCGCGCAAAGGAGATGATCGGACCACCTTGTGTTAAATTGGCCAAGCACTCTCGAGGCATTTACACGGTGCCCATTACTGTCTCTGGAAGTGAAAGCACCAGAAAACAAACTAAGTCATTCGCAGCTGTAATCCGTATGGCATGCAAGGAAGTACTCCTATACCGTGTTGGCCACGGTGTAAGAGAAAAATCTCTTAAACCGTAGCCTACTCAACTACGGCCGCTTAAGAGCCACGCTGTTGCCGAAACCGCCGGGCGAGGTCATGGAGGGCATAAATGACATGTTGAGAACGTTGCTGCTGCGTGCATCAGCGCCTTGTGCTCGCGAGACATACCGAATACTACAAGCACATGGAGTGAAAAACAGCGAGAAAAAACAAAACGAAAAAATATGATGTTGATGAGAGGCCACTTGTTAAGCTGTCCTTTTTTGGGCTGTCTTTTTCTCAAAAAGGGACAACTGGCCAAAGAACCACTTGTTACGTTGTCTTTTTTTGCATTTTTGGACCTTCGAAAAAGGGACAGAAGAAAAAGACAGCGCCATCCTGTCTCTTTTCGGGCAACTTTGTGACAGGATGGGACTCTCTTTTTTTGTTGCCCTTTTTCTGTCACAACACATGACACTTGCCCACAAACTTGAATATCTCGACGGATGATCCCCGCAAACTCTAACGGTATTCGCACGAGTCGTGTCATGTGACTGGTACGGAGTCAGTAGCCTCGGCGATAGTAATGTTGTCATTCGGCTGACCAGGTGGACAACCCGATGTGTGCGGCAAACAAGCGGCGAACGAGCCGAAAGAGCCTGGACGCACCAGCGGTGGGTCTTTTTGGTGCACAGTCAACTTTTGCGAACCCAACTTCTGGGCGACCTATAGCGTCCTGGTCTGTATCAATCACCACACAAGACGAATCAGACGCACAGCTCATGGCGGATACCTTTGTCATCGCTGTTGCTTCGGTGTGTGACGAGGGAGCATCGATGAACCAAAGTTGCAACACGGGAAAAAGAACAAAAAATATGCTTGGAGACGCGGCGGGTCATTTTTCCCGCTTGTCCACCACTCTCGCGCTCACAACCTCTGACCGCCCGTCAGCCTCCTGGTCTGTATCAACCATCACACAAGACGGACCATACACATAGCTCGTGGCGGATACCTTTGTCATCGCTGTTGTTTCAGTGTGTGGCGAGGGAGCATCCATGAACCAAAGTTACGGCATGGGCAAAAAAGAGCAAAAAAAGCTGGTTGTTGGCGCGGTGGGGTTTTTCAAGGTGCTGTTGACTCTCGCCACCTCAGTTGCCGTGCCTCCCACTGCCCTGTGGTCTCGATCAGCCGCCACACAAGGCGGACCAAGCACCCAGCTCGCGGGGGATAGCTTTACAGTTGCTGATGCTTCGCTCTGTGCGGAGATATCACCGAAAAACCAACTCGGTGCCAAGGTACTTATGGTGTGACGAACGGCCGTTGCACTTGTTGCAGGGTCATTTTTTTTGGCGGATGAGCAAAAAGGATCGACCAGCACCGTAACAAGGGGGTCATCTTTTTGCTAGATTATTTTTTGGTTCGTCCCTTTTTGAGGAAAAGACAGCCCAAAAAAAAGGCAGCTTAACAAGTGGCCTGATTGATGTACTAATGTACCACCGTAGAAAATCTCCCCGTTCCTACGTCGGCCTCAGCACTCTCTCGTTCCTCTGGGCATCGTTAAATGAAATCCACCACTCACTCAAGTCTGACTTGCTTCCCTCGCTGCGCAGAGCATGGTGTCTGCAGCGGAGGTCGCGTGTGGTCTGTGTGTCTGTGTGGCTCAAATAATTTTTGCAACGGTTTACAGTAAGAGAAAAGAAGAGGAATAGAGTCTAGGGCAAATTCTCTATTGAATCGGTCAGGGGCGTGACAAGCCAGTTGACTCTCTTAAACCCTTACTTTCTCTTAAATAATCTCTCTTAAACCGTAGCCACCACTGTACTGATGGCATCTACAGTAGTGCAGGACGGCCAATGGTCTGATTCCTCGCGCCTCGGGCATTCGGGTAAAAAACGTGCGTGGTTCGGAGCTTCAGAATGAACGCGATCATTCATTCACATTTTGTTCATCGTTCTGTGAGACCTACTGCTGTAGAGACCGTAACGGTCTCGTAACGGTGTCGTAGAGGAGTTGTTTATTTAAAGGCCGTGGAAGATGGGTTCTCTCGTTTCAATAGCTGTCATACGTAAGAGTTTGTGGAGGGCATGCCATTCATGTTACATTACGTCAGTAAGCGTCAGAACCTTGTGCTAGGTCCACAAACAGCTCAATCTGTTTTTTGGCGAGCAATATTTACCCACCGCAAGTGTCACGGTAGCATGAACGGGCGCGAAATACTGAGAATCATTCCATTTCACGATGGTTTGAGGAGGGCTAGGGTATACCCCAGGGTGTACCTGAATCGTTGGCGGAGCCCCTCTAGAGCTCCGCCTCAACACGTGTTTTGGGTGATCGCTCACTGTTAACACGGCCAATCTCGGAAGAGGAACTTTGACCCACATCGCTAAGCAGCAACCAGTTGTGAGTCAATGCAGGAGGTAGACCCCCCTTGCTAGTCCCTCCTTGATTAGTCCCCCCTTGTTAGTCCCCCCTTGACTTAAATGGTAAGAGACCATGAACCTGACCATGAAATGGATGAACCTGACCATGAAATGGAAGAAACTAATTGAACCCTAGCCGTGCTTGTTACGCTAACACATGAGTGAGCTACCTTAAGCAATAGCGTTATAACCACTGTGACACAAGTGCCGGGTACACTCCTGATACCTGGGTGCAAGGGCGCACAAAAAAAAAATTCCGACACCTAACCCCCAAAACTTTTTTTGGGGCCCTCCGGGGGGGGGGGGGGGGACATAGGAAAATTCCAAGGGATGCAACAAATAACTATGGTCACCAAAAACACACCAGGTGTGGTGCGTCGTT